TTTTTTTTTTTTTTCAAAATATCTGAATTTGGAGGTCCCAGTTTTTATTTTTATTTTTTAGCCCAATGAATTTTGATCCTGTGGCTGCTTATTGCTGGCACCGCTCTCACATCTGATGGCTCATATTGGTCGTTGATATTTATTTATTTATTTGCATATTATACCCTCAAGGAGTCAGAAATTCTGGCTCCACCCCAGGATTTTTCAGTATTTCTAATTCTGTATCTTCAATTATATAAAGTTGCATATATAACCAGATTTTTTGCTCACCTACTAATTTATTACTTGATGATATACACATAAGAGCATCTCCAATGACTTTTGGATTGCCCCATTCTGTTGCCACATGGCACAAAATATCCTACGTGGCCTAAAAAAATTCTAGAAGTCTTTCTAGATGTAGAAGTACTTCTAGACAACTTCTATTGTATATTATATTATTTATTCAATTTTTTTTTCAACCAATTATAAAATTACACATGTCAGATTAAACTATCTTTAACCTTAACCATTGGAGACACAATTTTTAATCTCCTTCTTTCATGTCATGCAACCCAAAATAGACAAGATACCATTGGAGATGCTCTAACTAAGCCGTACAATTCTATGCAATTCGATTGACTATTCCATTATATAGAATTTCTATTTCGGTTTCGATTTATATTCAGCACATTGTCGTGTTTTGTTGTGCGGTTGATTCCATTACAAGTTTTATATTTTATTTTTTATTTTCGTTTTGGTGTGGTTATGCATGAACCGGGCTAAACTAAACGCATCTGTGTATAAAAATTGAAGAAGGAAATTATAAATAGCCGAACCCAATTGTGCAATTCAATGCATTTTTTTTTTTTTTTTGATAATTTCCATTACAAGTTTTATTTTTTATTTTCATTTTGTTGTGGTTATGCATGAATCGTGCTAAACTAAACGCAAATGTATATAAAAGTTGGAGAAGAAATTGAATAGTCGATCCCAGTTGCAATTCAATGCCTTCTGATTTGGTTATTTTCATTGCATAAAATTATTAATTCGATTTTTCTTTTTTGCACACTGTTCACTGTCAAATATTTTGTATGCCAATAAAATCCAAAATCATTTTGCATGCAATTTACGTGAATTTTTTATTGAGTTTTTATTTTTTTAAAATTATAAAAATCACATCTATGCAATATTGGGTTTTATTTAATTGAGTGCAAAACATCAAAAGGTTAAGAGCTATACATACACATATACATAACTATCTATATTCAATGTGATTGTTTATAGTACCAAATGTGGGGCCAAAACCTAATAAACCAATATTTTTGGGGGTAAAAATTGATTTGTGACGTAATATATCTAGAAGAGTCTCGTGAGTGGCTGAAATTTGGCATTGTCACCCGAATCTACCAAATTAAATTGGAGGGCCTAAGATTTGTTTTTTATTATTTTTTTATTTGTTATTTATTTTTTGTATTGGGTTGGTGGTTCAAATTTATTAATTATTAAATTGCCAAAGACTTAAAATCATGGATGATATTAATCTCACATCCAAGGAGATATATTTTTTTTTTCTTAACAAGCTGCGTTTGTGGGCCCCAATTCATGATATTTTGTTGTATTTGACGGATTGGAATGTGACACGTGGATGATATACTAAATAAATATCTTTGCTTTTTCTGTTTGTGGCTTTGAGGCTGTCCAAATGCATAGCGGCATATTTTATTTAGGGTAAATTACGCCAAACCCCCCTGTATTATTCGAAATCTGCGCTTTATCCCCATGTATTTTAAAAAATGCGTCATACCCCCTTGTATTATACTTTTGATTGCGCGTTATCCCCTAAAAATGCGTCATACCCCCTTGTATTATACGAGGAGAGGTTATTTATTTCATATCCAATACAGAAGAGAACCGCTAGTTTACCAATTCAATGGCCAACTTACCTCTAATTTGAGACTTAGAGTTGTAAACAAGTCGATACAAATTTGAAATCTTAAATTTGGCTTGTTCATCAAATCATCTAAACAAACTCGAATCTTCACTATACGAGTTGACATAATAGTGTATGAAATTGCACAATTTAACATGTCTCTGATGCAGTGTTCTAAAAGTCGCTAGGCGCTCGACCAACACCTAGAACTACTTAAGTGGTGCCTAGAAATCAATATTAAATACTTATTTTTTTTATTTACTTAACTACTTACAAAATTAAATTATCTCAACTTATAATAAATCGACACACCTAAGTCAAAATAATAATATTAATATATTTTAAAGAAAACATGAGAATAAAATAACGTAATTAGTATTTAAAAAATAAAAATAAAAAAAACTGAAAAATTGCCGCCGAGCCTGCCTAGGAGCGCCTAGGGCCGCCTAGGCGCCTGACCGATTTTTTGTTTTGCCGATTTGTGCAAATCTGAGACGCCCGAGCACCGCCAAGGCTGACTTTTAGAACAGTGCTCTGATGAACCTTCACGAATCAAGTCCATCTCGACACGTTTACTAAATGAGTTTAAGTTCGGCTCGTTTATCTAATGAGTCGAACTCGACTTTTAAGAATCTGAACTAACGCAATATTTCAAAATATTACATAAAAATTTCTAATTCTCAAAGTTAACCAACCTTAATGAGATAAAATCGACTAATTTTTAACTAAACGAGCTGAAATTTGACTCGATCATCAAATCTTTACGAACAAATGTAACACGTTTACCAATGGCCATGTCAATTTGCATATGCTGTAGTATTATATGGAGACAGCTTTCTCGTATGGAGTCCAGATTGTATGGCCAACAACGACATCTCACTATCCTATACTTTCTTATCTTCCAATGCGCAAGTTTTTGATATTAGACAACTTAGTCATATGAGAAATGCTACAAGTACATAATAAATCTACATCGAGGTGTACAACAATACTCACATGGAGTAGAGTCCACTTAATTTTTTATTTTTGTGAGTCCCACTCAATGTGAGTGTTACGTACACCTCTATGTACAATAGTAGTATATACTTATAACATTACTATTTTAATATTCATGTGGGGCCCAAGCTTGGGCAGATTTGTAGAAACCCTTGGGCTCATCGGCCCACAGCAAAAACCTAACTTTAGAATTTTAGACATCAAAACTCCAAAAAACATTTATATTTTTATTTTAAAATACAAAAATTGTATCCAGAGGCAATTCTTTGGTTTTACTCCACTGAGCATGGCTGACCAATGACAAATTTATAATATTGGTAATAAATAAAATATATATTTAGAAAAAAAGGTATCACACAAATGAATCAATACCAATTCTTTTAACTGAAAGGTTAAAAAAATAAACTTTTATTAAATTTAACCGAGTTGAGTCGAGCTCATGAGCTCGACATAAAGTAGTTGAGTCGAGGGCATGAGCGACTCACTTTAACGGCTCGAATTCAAAGATAAATTTTATAACCAAACATGAATATCCAGAATTTTCTCTTCTATCTCTATTTCATTGCCACATGGCATAAGTAATCTTATGTGGCTTGGAAAAATTCTAGAAGGTTTTTTAGATGGAGAAGTCCTTCTAGACAACTTTTATTGTTTATTAAATTATTTATTCAATTTATTAATTTTATTCAATCAATTAAAATTTTACACATCACGAACGGAACCACAATTAACATTGACCATTAGAGACATATTTTTTTTTTTTGTTTTCATTCACCATGCCATACAACATAAAATGAGAGATGATCTCAAAACCTTCTTAATTGATAGCTATCCATTTAAGATTGGGCAGTGGGCCTCCATTCTCGGCCCATTTTCAGACATGGTCCATAATGACACATACTGATAAACTCAC